ACACAAAATAAAAAGAACATAGAACTGAATGTCCAAAATAGTATCACTGCGGACCCTGTTCAAATAGTTGAGTGTTTCAATAATTTCTTTTTGTCGGTTGGTAATGATAACAATACTTTTGGCACAACAGGTGCAATCGTTCAGCCTGTCCTTCATCCCGTAAAGAATTCATTCTTTTTACAACCCGCTACTAATCAAGAAATTATAAAATGTATACGTAATTTAAAAAACAAGCGTAGCTTCGGTCATGATGACTTACCGCCTTGTCTAATTAGGAAATGCGCCGAAGAACTAGCCCCAGTTATGACATTCCTGATAAATCAATCGTTTACAGAAAGTAAAGTTCCAGACCAATTAAAAATTTCAATAATTAAACCACTCTATAAAAAAGGCTCTAAAACTGACTGTAACAACTATCGCCCTATTGCTATTCTTCCAACGTTTTCAAAAATATTTGAATCCGTTATGGCTAATAGACTATACTGTTACTGCGAAAAGTTCAATATATTAAATGACAATCAATATGGCTTTCGCAAAAACAGAACAACAACTACAGCAGTATACAAATATGTCAATGAAATATTTAATTTATTTAATAAAAAGAAATACGCGATCGGTATTTTACTGGACATGACCAAAGCCTATGATCGAGTTCGATTTGACATACTTTTACGGAAGTTACACGGAATAGGAGTAAGAGGCCCAACATACAACTGGTTCGAATCATACCTGACCAATCGAAAGCAGTGTGTAGAGATAGAACACCATAACCTAGCCAGTGGAAATGTGATTAAAGTCAGGTCTCAATTTGCACCGGTCACTAAATCAATACCACAGGGTAGTGTTCTCGGTTGTTTATTATTTTTAATTTATATTAATGATTTGCCGAAAATAGTCAAAGCCCCCTCCCTGTACCTTGTTTGCCGACGATCTTTCTGTAGTCATACCTTTCGACAATAATACTAACAACAATCTTAACAACTGTCTAGATAGTGTACTTACAGATATCTCTAAATGGTTAAAAAATCACAATCTCGTCATAAATTACACAAAAACTAAGATAATACAATTTAAGCCGTATCAAAAATGCCCCCTATCTATAAATTATTCTTACAACGATATTAAACTAGAATGTGTTGATTCATATACATTATTAGGTATAAACATAGATTCAGGTATAAATTGGAAAGAACACATAAAGAAAGTATCATCTAAACTTTCCCGTTTCTCGTATGCACTATACGAACTTAAAAAAGTTACAGATTCAAGAACAGCCACGTGTGCATACTATGCTTATGCCCATGCGTGGCTCAAGTACGGCATTTTACTGTGGGGAAACAGCACAGACGTAAATAAATTGTTCATTTTACAAAAAAAATGTATCCGAATAATTACAAACATAGACAGCACTGACAGCTGTAAACCCTACTTTATTTCATTAAAAATATTAACAATTACATCTATATATATACTAGAAGTATGCACATTTGAAGAATATGCACCTTTTTTCAATATACTCCCGGCCTCATTTTTTACGTCCTAGTATAAAATTAGCTCCACCTATCACAAAATTACAAACAGTTAAATCAGGACCCCATGGTATGTGTGTAAAAATTTATAATAAAATTCCCAAATGTCTACAAAAAGAAGAATCGTTGTATAAATTTCAAAGAGAGCTTAAAAAATATTTAATTGAAAAAAAGTTTCTATTCGTTGTCAGAGTTTTTCGGTGAAAAATAATAATTGTTTATTTTGAATATGTATACCTACCTCTTTAATATCGTTGTAAATATTGCAAATGTTTATTTAACCTAAAAGTAATGTAGTAGTTTAAGTAAGTAGTTTAATTAAATAAAATAAAATTAGTCTTTTTAAATTAATTAGATTAAATTGATATATAACATAATATAATATAATATTGCTACGCCCTATCAGGACTCATGTTTGGCTCTAATATATCCAACTTAAGAACTATTTATGTAACCACATGAACGCAATAAAATGTTTGAGTTTGAGTTTGAGTTTTAATTATATGTTTTTGTTTTTCATTTTCTTTATTTAGCTTCTTATAGTATTTTTGATATTCTTTTTATATTCTTTTTAGTTTTAACTTGTGACTTATATTTTTTCATTTGATTTTTCTTCAGCTTTCTTCAGTTACTTCTTCATATAGACTTTTGGTTTTCTGTTAGTTTAGAAACTGACACATATTTATTTTTAATTCTGTTCAAATTTTTTAAACGAATTTCTTCAAACTTTTCTGGGTTTAATTCTTTAAGACGTTGCCTATATAGCCGTTGACGTTCAGCTCCTGTCATTGGCATCCTAAAAAGATAAAAAAATATTTTGATCGCAAACAGGCACAGAAACAACTAAAGATAGAACTGGACTGGACATGCAATCAAACTAGGTTAAGGAAAAAATATAAACAGGCAGCAGACAATCAAATAGACTAGAAAACAAAACGACATGTTCTAGTAAGCGTGTTTCACCATCAACCTTGTCATTTTTTTTTCCATCAGGTGAGAATAGTGTCAATCGTGACCTAAAGAAACCTGTCAACAGTGTAAAATTCGTTAAATTATCAGTGACCGAGGCTACTTTAGTTGCACTTGGTTACGGACGCTTGTAACACGGGCAAACAAATATTAGTGTCATTACTGATAGGCTATAAAATAAACAACTAATAGACAAACAAATGACAGTGATACCAACAAACAGGAATATAAGAAAATGGAACGACATATTGAAAGAAAATAATTAAATTTCAGGTACATACCTACCTACAGAAATTTATTTATTTATTGAACTTTACTGCACAAAAAATTAAATAGACATTTAAATCACTTTCTAAAATTAATACCCCATAACTTAATTTTTTTTAAATAAAATAATTGCTTATCAATATAAACCAGCAATGTGATTGCGGCTTTAGTTCATTTTTGTTATATCATTTTTGTAACGTAACCAAAAATTGTAACAAATCATAACAAAAATGATGAACCACCGTACTTTGAAAGTAATGCCAAAATGTTTAAGCCAAACAGAAACCTTAATGAGTTCTAACAACCTTGCATTTCAATGAAGGTCAGTAGTAACCTTATTAAATAATCGATGAAAAATATAAGTACTCACTTACCTGCGTTGTTTGTTAAACTAAACAAAACTGATAATTTAAAATAATTGATAGAATCAGGCGTTACTTTGCGGAAATCCATTATAATAAAAAAATAAAAATATAAATTTATTTGCAACTTTTATTTTTTTTATTGATAATTTAAAATTGGAATTTTACTCGTCGATAAAAAAATACGCGTCGTTCACTTTTTTCGCTGGAGAACAAAATGGCCGACTCATGTTCGTTTCTTGTATGTCATTGGCTCGTTAGAAAAGCAGTGCTGCCATTTATTAATCACCAATTATTGTCAAATTTTACTGTTAGAAAAATAAACAACAAAAATGAACAAAATAATGGACATTAATATTTTACCAAAATTATAATATTAAAAATAATTCAAATAAAATAATTTTTATTGAAATCAATGGAAATTTACTATGTTTTAGCAAAAAATTCACCAATAATTAATAAATGTAGCTAGTGTATTTATTTTCATGATTTTTGTAACGTAGCTCGTGAAGAGGACAAATTATTTTGTATGGATAATACTCGACTTGGTTACAAAAAAAGGAATAGTATTTTTCTACTATTGGTAATTAATATATAAATCTGTATTATAAAGCTAGATAATATAGCAAAGGACAATAATTAAGCACTTTTCACATATTTAAATGAATTTTATCATAAAATAATGCCCGTGGACAAATTATTTTATAAAAATGGTCATTTTAAGTGATTTTCAACCATATTCAACGAGATAAATATACCAGTTTGCAAATGTCAAATAATTATATCAGAATGTCAAATTGATTGGGCACTTTATAAAAGACACATGGTCGTACTTGCAAAATTTGAATGTGAATCGAACGCAGTTATCATTTGTTAGGTTACGCATAGTTTTAGTGCGGGTAATATCTTTAAAACTATTTTTTTTTACTTTCTGAGGCCTAGAATTTTTTGAGTTCAAAAATTTATAAAAAATCAGATTAGTGAGCTATAATAATGATATAAATACATAGAAAAATAAAATAAAAAATCTTTGGTGGAAAACTGGGATTTTCTCAATGTTGTTTACAAACAACATCGGTTGTCAATAACTACTGAAATAAAACTCGAATTGAACTACACTTAGTTTATTACAACGTTTATGGATATATTGAAATAAATTCAGAAAATTTTACATAAAAAATTTTATGTAAAATATTCTGCTATCAGATCTGGGAATGTCGTATCCCTTTGATAAATCACCATATCGCAAACTGTTTCAGAGGGGGTGGGCCAGCACAAATACCTTAATACCAACGGGATTAGGCTTTCTTGGACAGTATTGACGTATACCGCAATGGCCACTAAATGGTATAATCATTTCGTCTATGCTGATGTGATACATTCTTTGCTGAGCGCGGCAACTGCGAAGAACAACATCGAACAGTGGTGTAACGTTCCATATTTTATTAGTGTTTTTTCCTCTGAAACATCGGTATCGTATACTATCTTCAAAGAAGTTCCGTTATGACCAATACTGTCTAATATGTGGCAAGCTATTAGCACCCGTGACTAATAGTATTTCTATAAAAAATTCTTCTTTCATTAATTCAATTCTTTCAGTGCAAATTTCGGTTACTTACCCGTTTCTGAAAAGTAAGTCTGGTTAGTAGCAACCACAATCTTCTCGAAAATATCATCATAAAAGTCTTCTGGCGATCACAACTAAAACATATCTTGGTTGAAACAATGATCGCTCCAAAGGAGAAAAATCTCCATTCCAGTTATTTTCCGTGTTGATTGCGCAGTAGAATTGCGAGTACTAACACTCCGTTCTACTCTTGTTCTTACACGCCTCTGTTATCTTGAACGACCTCCCTGTGTTCTAGCCCCACCTCTAGTTGTAGAATGCCCTGTAGAATGACGATGAAGTAGAAATTTCTGACAACGGCCGAGATTCGCTTTCAGATTCTGAAGGAGAACCTGAAACCGAATCACTTAGACTAGACTCTCTCACAGGAGGTGACTCTTCTGACTGTTTACCGTCATCGTCGTCTGATAAAATATCCAGGTCCGAATCTTCGAGGGCATCGGTAATGTCTGCAACTTTCAAAACTGAAAAATAAGTTAATAAACGTAACAAAAATAAATTAAATTTCCTGATGTTGAATTAAGAACCGATGTAGTAAATATACAACATAGGTAGTAAATTTCAAATATACCACAAATAACTATCGCAATCTGTAAAATATTGTTTGTATTACAAAGAAGACTATTTGGATTATAGTTTCACACAAAAAAAATGTAAATACTATAGATTTGCACAAAATTTAAAGATTACTCACCACTTCGCCACCGTTGTTCTGCCATCTTTCGCAACAAGTAGACTGATGTCAAAAAATACAAGTTGCAAAAATGACTGCTTTCAAGCAACATATCGTCTGTGGTCTAATTAAAAAAATTTTGACTATAATTCAACAGATGAAGGTGTAATGAATTTTTATTTTTTATGTTGTATTTATACTACTGTGAGCCTCAGGAAGTTAAAACTAAGCATATTTTAAAAATTATGACTAAGATTGTAATATTTAAATAAAAATACATTAAAGTATTATGTACTTACGTACTAGAACAGCTATTTCAAACCAAAAATGTGGCGCTACTCTGTGTTAGCGTGGTTGGTTTTTTTAACATAGAATAAACATAGTTAGAATGATCAGTAGATAATAGTAGATTGTATTGTTAAATAGGTAAATTATATCGAAAACAATTTTTAGTTGTTGTCATTTATTTTGTATATTATATTTGCTTATTTAATATACCTAATATCACATAATATTATATCAAAATTATATTTTAATTATATTTTTATCTAAATATTTTAAAAGATATCTATGTCAAATATAAAAAACATACTAAATGTATGTTTAACAAAACTTATTAATATAACGTTTAAATTACAAATATATTTATTTAAATTAGAGTAACAGTCATTCATAAATGCTGGGCACGCGAGAGTTAAATGGACGAATTTATTCCACTTTGACTTTGATGTGGAAATCTAAAAATAAAATAAAAAAGTAATTTCCAGATTCAAATATAAAAAAAATTGCATAATTACGATAACTTATATATGTTTCCACAAAAAAATGTGTATAATAATATATATTCGTCCTATACTTAATTACCCACAGAAATGTCGCATCTTAACAAATTAATTTTATAATCTATATTCCATGACACAAGATGGCGTCTTAGGAATAATTTGTTTTATTGTTAATATATAATACTTTTTTATAGATTAAGTATCTTATTAACCGATAAAAAGTAATTCCTTGGTTTTAACTGACATTTCTTGAATTATTTGTGCAATATCTAAGAAGTACACACGACGGCATATTTTTATCAAGAGATTTTTTTTAAATCAACACAATACGTGACAACTCTAAAAGCGCCTAGCGAGTGACTGATTAAAGTGCGGTGTAAAAACCGCAGTTGAATGGAACAGAGTAGCTGAATGCAGTGTCGCCTCTAGTACGTAGTACGTGATAGCTCAATGTAAAAATATATTAATAAAATTTTATTTGAAATCCATAAAAATCTCAAGTTGGATATGGTGATATGGTCTCATGTTAAGATGGCAATTATACAAATATCTAATTAACACCGGATCTAAAATACAAGGGATAGTAGCTACAAAGATGAGACGTATGGTATTGCGATTGACAATTCACCTACAATTTTACGAGCTGACAAAGAAATATTTCTGTGTGATTTATTTGACATTATATTAAAAATGATACTCATGTCACATCAATCTACAGTAGTACTCATATCATCCCGTTGGTATCGTAAAAGGTGACAGAGGAATATTGAAGCTGTAATGTTGAAACACTTCAATTGTTTATAGAATAAAAGTGAAAAACGAGCACGTAGTCTACTAGATGGTAAGTAAATGCTGTGACATATAGATATCTACATATAATCCATCTTCAATTAAGAATCAAAAAGCAGAAAAGTTATCACCCCTGAGGACTAAGATAAAATGCCTCGTTTCCAGTTAAAAGGGTCTCCGGTTCTCTACGCTTACCATAAGGAATAAGCAGTATTGAGCTGGTATTTTGGCTGGTTGAGACAGTCCCTTCGTGATACAACCGTAATATACGTTCGGTGGCAACGCATTTGCATTTTGATCCTTAGTTGAAGATAAATGTGGATGTCTGTGGGCCACAACATTCACTTACCTTCAGGTGGACTGTGTGCACGTTTGTCACCCAATGCTATATAATATATGAGATAGTGATAGTGACATAGGCATTGATGTGGGTAACACGCTAAATACTCCTATCTTAAATTTATTGCCTCGTTGTTTGTCTATATATATATATATATATATATATATATATATATATATATATATATATATATATATATATATATATATATATATATATATATATATATCAGTTATAACTTATTAAGTTAAAAATAGTATATATTTATATAATAGCAATATATAATACGAAACCTTATTTTACTTTGAGTGATAGTACCGAAACGAATTACCGAAACGCGCCACTTTTGAATTGATCTGTGAACAAATATTAAGAGTAAGATTGATTTTGTGTGTTTTTTCCACGTTAATATTTAATATTATTACAAAATAGTGACGAGAACAGTAGAGAGATGAGGGAAACTGAAGCAGGAGATAGTGTGCAGCATTTTTCTGATAACAACTTAACACAATAAAAATCTATGGTTGCCAATCTGCTGGCCAAGTTTGTCAATAACTACATGCAAAAATCTCCCTCTTGAGGCACAACATGCATGCAAAGAAGCATGCTTTTACGGAATGTCAGCGTGAAATAGCAACTTAATGCTGGTGTTTCATAAGGATGTAGAAAACCAGATACCTTTCTATTATTAACTAGACATTTTATCTAAGCTCTTTTGGGGGTGGCAACGCATTTACATTTTGATTCTTTATAAATGATAGATGTAGGTGTATATGGGCCACAGTATCCACTTACCACAAGGTGAAATATATGCTTGTTTGTCATCACAGAGTAATTACCAATCCCTCTCTTCTTTGTGAGGTATTCATTTATTTGTATCTATTGTATTATTGCTTTCCAAAAACTTTTTTTTTACGCAAATTTCTTTCGAACCGTGGGACTTTTGAGCATATATAAATTGGGTTGGCAAAATTTATTGAAACACAGATATTTTTGCGTGAGGGAATCAAATCCGTGATTTCCATCATTATAGCCAAACAAATAACCACAGCATCCCAAAACCATCAAGATATGCCAAAAGCTTTATTTCTTTTTCAAATCTTTATGTATATATTTATATAGAAAATTACGTGTCACATTGTTTGTGACAACACATTGTTTGACTTTGTTGTGAAAACACTCTACATATAGCGGTTTCTGCGAGTTAGTTGCAGCCGGTCAAATAAACCTTTTTGTTTTAAAGTGTATCGAAATGGCAACCGGTATACCAAATTTGGTATAGAAGACCATAACCATCGAAGGGATATATTTTTCCAAGATTTTTCTAATGGTCACTTTGATGCTCACGCTGGTGTCGATGGTGATAATAATACTGATGAGCGTCCAAAGCATCCTGCGAATTCTCCTATGCATTGAAGATATATTTGATCAGCTCAACACTAGCATAAGTCATCGAGCGACCTTTTGTAAAACGGAATTGATTTTCATGTAGTAAATTATTTACATTAAAAAACTTAATATTTCATCAAGAATAATTTTTCACAAATACTAAGGGTTGGCAGTACAGAAATGGGTCTAAATTTGGCATTTTGGAAAAAATAATTTTAAATTAAAGTATTACTTCACTATGCTTCAATTAATCAGGAAACACACAAGAATCGATACTAGTATTAAAGTAATAGATAGTTGAGGTGCGATTGTATCTACTATAGATGCAATAACTTTAGCGGAAATCCCCTACAGATCCGAATACCAAGCATGGCAACTGTGGCAAATGTTACTTTTATTAGGACATCTATTGGGCAGATCAATGTTCAGCAGTGAGCATTGATAGGCTGAAATGATGATGACGAAATCTTCTTTAATCTTAATAATATTTTGTAAGCGGTACAGCCATACTGCACGTAAATTATGATTGTACGTAATACGAAAAGGTTGGCTCGACCGGATAAGTACCACGCTCTCACAGAATACCGGCCTAAAATAGCTTAGGTAACACTGTTTGTGTGTCACATTGTTTGTGTCATCCGCGAGGAACTTTTTAACTAATTTGATCCAACTTGAGAAACAGGAGGACTACATGTCGTCGGAAGGGGAAGAACAACGTTTGCATATAATAACTGTTATTCTAGTATATTTTCATTAGACAAAGTGGAAGCAGTAATCCAAACTGGATGATTGCTAAAAATATATTTCGACAGCGTAGACCAGGTTTACGACTGCTTTACGCATCCTAAAGTATGTCGTCATAAAAGCGGGTAAAATTAATACCAATAAAATGTCTATTTAACGACGTGACATAACTTTAAATCGTTATTCCACACAGTCAGTTGTAATATAAAGTTTGTAGAATGTGTAATACAACTGACAACATTAGTTACTAGTGGTCTCCCGCGGCCGGAATTCGACTATTTCAACTGCACATTAATATGTATTAAAAATACAGATATCTAATCTTTTTATTTAATTCGTTTGTCCATGTGTATGTGACTGAACTCCTGCTAAACGGATGAACCAATTTTGATGAAATTTTGTGCTTATGATTACGATTGGAACTCACCCGTGCGAAGCCGGGGCTGATCGCTAGTCAATATATATAACGCAGCTATCTTATATATAAAATGTAAAATAAACTTTTTTTTTTAAATATACTCCAAGGCTTGAAATAGGCTCCATAACCTAATAAAAAAAAGAAATTTTGAAATCACACAACCTTCCTTGCTCATCATCATCATCATCATCATTACAGCCCTTCACAAGTCCACAGCTGAACATAGGCCTCCCCCAAGTAATGCCACAAAGCATGGTCCTGAGCCACCTGCATCCATCGACTTCCTGCATATCTTACCAGGTCGTCACTCCATCTAGTGGGGGGTCGCCCTACACTACGCCTACCGGTACGAAGCTGCCACTCGAGAACCTTTCTTCCCCATCGGTTATCGGTTCTTCGAGCTATATGGCCGGCCCATTGCCACTTCAGCTTACTAATCCGTTGGGCTATGTCGGTCACTCTGGTTTTACTGCGGATATCCTCATTTCTGAGTCTATCACGCAGAGAAACTCCGAGCACAGCCCTCTCCATAGCTCGCTGAGCGACCTTGAGCGTCCTCATTCGGCCAGCAGTGAAGGACCACG